ATTGATTTTAAAAGTTCAACATTATGGACGGATAAATTCAAGAAATTGCGGAACGATTTGGAAAATACAGAAGATAATCATTTTCTCATGACATCAACATGTTGGGCATCACTTCCTACGAGGTTTTCATCATTAAAAAAAATTGGCTTTGCCATTTTGTCCACATTCGGGTCCACTTATAAATGTGAGCAAATATTTTCACAAATGAAATTTATTTTAAGCAAAAACAGGAGCAGGTTAACTATTGAAAATTCAGATGCTTGTGTTCGACTTAAAACGACTAACTATAAACCAGACTTGACTAAATTGACGTCACAAGTTCAACATCAGGGGAGCCATTGATATCGTAGAGAAAGTTTATAAATAAAGTTTATTCAACTATGTTCGTAATTATTTTCTTAATAAAATATATCTTATTATTTACTAAAATGCTGTTTTAATACGAAAATATCTCTGACCCAAACGTCTCTTTAATACTCGCATTTTGATTTTGACCCGCGGCCAAAAAAGGTTGCCGACCCCTGGCATAAAGTATCATAAACAATCGACTGAACTATTAAAGAAAAACCAGATACCAGTGCATTTAAAATTGCATCATACCTAAAAGAAGATATGCTGAAGAAAATTCACCCTAAAACAGTACAGAGTTCTGCATCGGGCCAGATATAACAGTAGAGTTGCAGGGAAAAAAACCACTCATACGCAAAGTAAACGAAAAAAAGAAATTAGAATTTGCATAACAATACATATGTACAATACTAGCGACGACTTCTGGAAAAACGTAGTATTTTCCGACGAGACAAATTTAATATTTTCGAGTCAGACGGTAGTAAAAAAGTATGGCGGAAAGCTAATACTGAATTGGATTTCAAAAATATGCAACCGATGAAGAAACACGGAAGTGGTAGTGTGATAGTCTGGGGATATATTGTTGCTTCTGAAAGCGGTAATTTAGTAATAATAGATAAAATAATAAACAAACATTTATATTTAAATATTTTAAAAGGAAATGTACAAAGTAGTGCACTTTCGAGTCTAAAAAGATGGGTTTGTATGTTTGAGAAATAGCATCTGTAGTTATTACTTCTTGGATTTTTATCAATTACTCTTGTTAAAGAAATTTGAATCATGGCCTATGTGTTTATATCTGCTTCATAAAAAAAGTTTTGGTATTTGCGCCCCGCGACTGAGGAAAAATAACTCAATCTTTCCGCCGAGATAACTAGTTCCCAGTAGAACAATTGAATGTCTGCTTTTTCACTGAGGGAGCACTCAACCTATTCGCCGGGATAACTTTTTCCCCCATTATTATTGAGACAACTGAATGTCCACTCTTGTTACCGAGTAAAAGCTCCTCATTCTTCCCACCAGGTGAATTAGTTTCTCCATCATCATCGAATCAATTGAATGTCCGTCCGGTATTTTCAGGTATTGAAATCTAAACAAAATGATACCTTGGACCATCGTATCGCTCACCCATTGGTGCTAAAGTTGATAGTTTAAAAATTATGTCATCATTGCCCTCCTGATTCTCGATTTGGAGCGCGTTCATGATATTTATTTGATCTAAACTCTGACTATTGCTATTGCTTCTTTTTCATCAGCAGTAAAAGATTCTTCATTATTTGAATCATTTGTTTAAATTAATTTCTTTTTCTGCATTATTAGTCTTAATTTGTTTGTACACATCTATAACTGATACTGTTTCCTTATTTAGATGAGCGTCCCCATCCACTTCTGAAGTACCTTTTAAGGGCACTTCAGACAAAGACTAGAAAATGAAAATATGGATGGCAATGAAGATGATAAAGCTTCAACATAAATAATTCTGAATTAATTTCAATTGGATTCCTAGATAGAGCGTCAGCGTTAAAATGAACATTTTCGGGTTTTTATAAATTATATCATATTCATATTCACTAAGTTTGATGCGCGCTGACATAAGTGTTGAAGTTGAATCTTTAACATTATGTAACCAAATTAAAGATCTATGATTTGTAACTAAAGTGAAATGTTTGCCATGTAAATATGGTTGAAAATGCTCTACTGCAAAAATAATTGCTAACATTTCCTTCTCTACATATAGTAGCACAGTGAATTTCAGTTTGGCTTGAAGTTCAATATGCATAAGTAACTGGAAAATATTTAACAATTGCGCTCTGGCTCAAAACAGTTCTTACAGCAAATTTTGAAGTAACAGCTGTTACTACAACAGGTCGCGAAACACTAGGAAATTATTCCGAAAAAAATTATACGTTGTGAAGTCACAAAAGAATTTTGTACCTTTTATTGCTATATAAATGGTACGTCTTTCTTGAGAAGTCGAATAAGTGAATGAAACGTCTACAATACCCCACTAATCCTGCAAATTACATTTCTTTTGGTTCTAGGAATTGGAAATAGTTTGACAGCTACTACTTTCGCGGGATCAGATTTAACTCTTTCCATTGAAATATGATGACCTAAATATATTAATTCTTTTTGAAGAGAATGCCATTTTTCTGGTTTTAAAGAAAATCCAGTACTTTCTAACCGAGTAGGAAGAGTTATTAACTTCCGTACATTTCTTTTAAAGGATTAATATACATTATAATGTAATTGTAAACCTGCACCCATATAAATAAATCTCATATATAGTTAACAAGTCAAAAAATAAAGTCAACAGTAGCATTTCTTATGGGTGCTGTTTCCTCGTCGTTTTTACCCGTTTGTACCGCATTCATTTTTGTTTGTACCTCAAGGGGTTCGTCTGTTCCGACTTCCAAAAAACACACTAAGAAATTATTTCTTCGTATCTATGGTCTCAGGATCTGGTCCGCATCATGCACTTGTCAAGTGACAAACCACCTCCGGCGGAATTCTAACATAAATCAGTTGCAGATGGGTTAGTTACCTTTCGACTCGTGCTTTGACATCTAAAAAACGTTATTATCGCACATAAATAAATTCATTATGCAAATTGATAGGTTGTTTCAGTCAGTGCATTCGAGAACACAGGAGTTCATTTTAAATTATTCATATTTTTTATGTTTATTTTATTCCGAGCTGGCCTTAAAATATTCTAAATATGTTGCAGTTTAAAAATATGTTTTAGTTTCCACTAAAATTACAAGGTAATTTTGGAAGGTAAGTTATCATAGATTATTGAAATAAAGTGCTATAAGTTTAAAACAAGGTCAACATTTCTTCGTATGTTTCTATGTTCCCTGTTCATTACTCAAGTAATTATACTGCCATATGTTATAAAACACTTTAATATGTACGAAATAAGTTAACACCTATAATTTTGTTATCTTTTTGACTGTGTAAATTAAAAAACCACGTGAGAGAAATAAAAATATTTTCAAGAAATTATTAATAATATACCATTTGTTTATTATCTAAAATAATCAACATATATGAACAATGTAGATAAATGATTTTAATTTTGACAGTAAAAAATCTTATTTTGACTTATGATATACTTTGTATTCAACATAATTAACATCAACTTGCATTTTATAATGTGTAATTTTTTAAATAAAGACAAAATTAAATATAAAATATTGAGCAGTAACAAACCTGTTAATCTCTTCATATGATATTTAAAAAATTGTGAATATAACAAATTATAAATATATATGTTTTCAAAAATTATGCTACATAGTAAAAACAAAAAAAGGAGAAAATGAATGGTTTATAAATGTTCTTTTTTCTAAAACTAACTTTTTATTCTTCTCTTCTTTAAATTTCTCATTATTGTATTCAATATGATTTAAATTATCTTATTTCATTGATACTTTTTTGTATACCTAATTATATGCTAAGAAAGGCTACACATAATTATAACTATAAGAAACAATAAACAATAAAGATTAATAACAAATAATTTACATTGATTCAAATAAACCGTTAATACCTCTTACACCGATATATGAATACCGTTGGAATAAATAAACTCACGTAAGTTTTATCTTTTCCAATTTAACATTTCATAAAAAATAATTTGGTTCTTTTCCATAGAATAAAGATAAAATTATTTGTATGTATACATTTTATACTTATGATAGAACAATTACACTGTACAACAAATTTTTGCCTTTTTTATGTTTTGCAATAAATAATACATAATTCTCGTAAATTTTCATACACTAATAACTTATCTGAAAATCGTTCTCTACCTTAGTTTTTGAAAAATTCTATCTTGAATAACAAATCAAATCTTCGACAAATGCTGTTTTGAGAAAATAACTATTTGAACTTTGGAAAATAAATTTAAACTTTATAAGTATATATACATAATCATAAAATTATAAGTATCTAAACTTTCTTCAAACAATCTTTTGAACAAGTAAAACATCTGACAGTTACTAATTTTCTTAAATATTTTTTACTTTATTTTAAAAGTTAAAAATCTAGAAACAAAATTTCTATACAAATTGTTCATAAGCTGAGGATAATCAAATATGTAATCGATACATACAAATCTACAAGAACTATTTATTAGTTATTGCAAAATGTAACACCTGTTGAACAGTGTTATTATCTAATCTTTAAACTGGTTATAATATTTGGAATAAAATATGTTCCAGAGTATAATTTTATATATAAAAAGTCTTCTTAAAGTATGTATTACAACCTTAACTGGGTGAATTCAATTAGCAACATTTAAAATTTTTTAATACATTATATTACAGACTAGACAAAATTGTCTTCAAGAATTTCTTTTGTTTATTATTTTTCTCCTAAAACTGTATCCAATTATTGAAACCTGAGATCTTTTACTTTAAATTTCGTCATATAATATTTTCGCTTTCCATTTGAGTATTAATTATATTTTCTTCATCCTCTGTGCGTATTAATTTTTTATTTGTTATACGAATAAGTTATTTTTATTGTAATTATCACTTACAAATAAATTAGGTTCAACATTAACATTGTTTTCTTCTTTAAGCAAAGAACCAATAATTATGATTATAATATTATTGTATCAATTTCCGATAAATTTACGATATTAAACATTAAAAGTTATATGCATTTTTATTTCTCTATCAGCAATGTATATCAATATAAATATTCTATCAATATAGCTCATGTTGTGGTTTTATACCATTCAGCGCTTTCTGGCGTAACTTCCTGTTTCTCTAATTTGAACGCCATTGTCTAATAGTGCTATCATATTATGATTCATGCAACACTTTTCTGTATGACTCATGTTTGAAAACAGTTTCGATTGTAAAAGTAACCAGTTGCCAGCGGAAATCGCTAACTGAGAATGATATAGACTATTGATATCACTTCATCAAATATATTTATGTTTAGTTATTTTTTTATCTTTCACCAAAATACAGTCATTAATCAATAACATATATATAATTATAACAAGAATTAAAAATGATTCATGAAATATTATGAAGTACTTTCCTTACAGGTTACATTCTGGAATAAAAAGTATTTTTTATAATACAAAATTTCAAAAATGAACAGAAATTATCTTACAAAAAGAGCTACTAGAATTTCAAATGCTCTTCCCTCGCCTATATATTTTAAATTTAAAGTAATTCAGATCATAGTGTTCTTTCAACTTATCATTACATTCTAATGAAGTTAGCTCTAAAAATATAATTAGAAATAATAACGTCAAGCAAAGGATAGCAGTTATCTGCATTGATAATGATAATGAAGAAATTGCTATTGATAAAAAATGTTTATGAGTACAGCATGATAATTTAAAGGAAAACTGAAAAAAAATCGTTTCTGGCATCTAACATCCTGGGAAGGTACTTCCCTTACAAAGATATTTTATTAAATCATTGTATGTAATATTGCAAATATAGATAAATACATCAATGAAGGAAATTATTTCTGAATATAAACCTGAATATCATTTACATTATTAAGTTCATCATATCTTAAACTATACCACAAGATTTTCATTTTTTCTACGTTGTGGCAATATACATACCTTCATATCTTATTGAACGATTATAGAAATAACACATAAAGTATTGAATTAATATGCACTGCAATTTATTAAAGAATTATAAAAAAGTCAATACTGGAAGAGTTGACAATGATATCATACATTTATAGATTCCATTGTTAAACAAAATAAAATCGATAATTAGATCCCAACGTACATTGAATTTAACATTATTTACTGCAATATATGGATTTCCGCTAGTAACCATTTTAAAAGATACCAAATGCATATGTAAATTAGTGTACAATAGTACTGTATATGTTTTTCTTTGGAAAATTAATAAATGAAATGCAAGTAAAAAGGCACTATATCTGAGTATGGGAAACAATCAGGTATTTAGGCCTCCCTAATCTTTTCTCTATCAGTTCCAATAAATCACAGATTTCTCACTAAAGAAGTTACGCCGCTGCGCATGAACAACTTCCATTCCATTCCATTACATACATAAAATCTTACTCATTCAATATTAAACATATGCATGTTAAGAAAAAAATTAGTGTGAATTACAAACAGCCACTTTTAAACCCGTTATAGTGGTATTCAATAATATATTGGAAGCATAAAGAAATATATAATTGTACATCATTTTATAAACTAGAATAGAACCATTACACTATGAACAATCAAATCTTTCGTTTCAACATTAATTATGCTTGACTAGTTGTGGGAAAAATGATCAATTGGCAAAAGAATGTTCAATTGTTCCACGCACAGCACACCATACTGTTTCCAGAAATGATAAATATTTCATTGTTATTCCACATTTACATAAAAAGACCGGTGTTGCTTTATATTGACTGCTAAGGATGACATTTGTTTAATGATCACTTCATTAAACAGGTGTTTCATGATCAGTCTCTTCAATTCTTCCCAATCTCCATGCATTTGGATCTCCTGCTGCTGCAATGCAATAATACGAAAAACTTTTTATTTATATTACATAACACAAATTAAAATATTTGAAATTATAATATATTTGTAATACGAGAATTATATATATATACAATCATAATAATGTACATGTTTATACAAATGCATTATAACATATTCAAATTTATAAATCTATAACATTATAATTTGAATTAATTATGTAAACACAATAGAAATAAAAAATTACATGAACTTTATAAAAACAATCATGACAAAAACAAGGGAATATTACATAATTATACATTCATCACTATAATAATAACATCTACATACAGGGTGTTACCTGTAACGCTACTCACGATTTTTCTCCCACTTGCAGCCACCTTACGAAAAAAAGTTTGCAACAATATTTGCAGGGTATGAAGTGCACAATAGATATTAGTAAAGCAAATTTTGAAAACAGTTTGTTCTCATGGCAAAGTCAAGGTCACCTTGGGTTTTTTAAATAGGAACATACATTTTTTTTTATTCATAGCTATAGAGGACGTCGAGACGAATTCAAAACATATATTACATGATATTTTTATTAACATATTACTCGATTT